TGCTCCAGAAATTTTAACCTATTCTTGCGCAGCATTTGTTTCTCTCTGCAAAACTGGATTGTGAAACTGCGAATCTTGTTTTGACAGAAATCCCAGAATATCCTCTTCGACAGTTCATGCTTCAAGCTCAAACTAGAGATGTCATCCAAGAGTTGTTGGATACATGTGATATATCGGGTGTCCTCTAAAACGCTGTTATTCATTTTCCAGTAACCTGTTGTTGCTTAAGTTCAGTATTTCTGGAATCTCCCCTCACAAACGCACTTGCGCTAGGATTAGTTTGACAGTGCTTGTATTGTTCTTGTTCATAGGGCTATCTAGCTCAATCTGCAAGTCTGGAAGTAACAGAACGAACCGACGAAGAAACAGGGCAAGAAATACAAAAAGTTGCTGGGTGCATAACCAAAAAGTCATCGCTATCAGGCCTCGATCTTTACCGCGGCCACCGCGACCAAAGGCCGCATGCCCTTCCAACTTGGCCGCAATGCCCCTTCAAAAAATACACACGTCGCGGCCAACTTGGCCAGCGTGCCCTTTTGTCATGTTTGTATTTTACCTCTGCATGTCCCGTCATGACAATCACACATCACAGATATTGTGAAGAGGATCTGTGCATACAAACACCATTCAACAAATGTCTAGTCGCGGCGAAAATAATACACGTCTTTTAATAGTTATCGTTGTGGTATTCGTAACTACGTACACACGCGCGTCATCTCATACCCCCGGTACACCATAACCCAGCGCAGCCCTTCCCGATCTCCTGGCTATGGCCCAACATACGGCGCGGTGCCACTGTACGATGTACCGTACATTATGCACATTATGCCATTGCAACAACCGCTAACCGGAGCGTAATTATCATAATACACTAACCCTAACCCACCTCACTCCTCCAAAATCCTCCTGGCGGTTTTGGAGGATTCTAGAGGATTGAGGATGAATGGTGATTGAAGCACATGAGGATTTTGGAGGATTGAGGATGAATGGTGATTGAAGCACAAGAGGATTTTGGAGGATTGAGGATGAATGCATTTTGAGGCAGGACTGTCTGATGATTTTGAAGGATTTGGAGTTGGTTATCCTTCATTTAAACACGAGTGCAAAATTTTGGGATGAGGAGGATTTTGGAGGATTGAGGATGAATGCATTTTGAGGCAGGACTGTCTGACAATTTTGAAAAATTTAGACGGAGTTGTAAAAAATTTTGGAGGATTTTGGAGGATTGAGGATGGTTGTAAGCAACAAGGGCCTAGGGGGTTAGGGCTAATATATTCAACTACCAGGAAAACCTTGGCGTTGATTGGTCAATATTGCAACGTTAATATCACATGTATTTTCACGTGACTGACATATTGTGCGGGCAAGTTGTCAAGTTGATGATTGCAGTGAAATCTGTTCAATGACGTGTTTGTTTTCAATCAATTTTTTAGAACATTTTTATGTCTTTCTGCACCACGAAAGGTACAGAAAATAGCCCCAAAAATGTTAACACAAATGGTGTAAGGCCGACACGATACTTAAAAAATGGAGGAATCGCCGCAGTGGACAAGTGACTGTCGTCATGTTTACCGCATGCCACGCCTGCTAACAGTGCTATTTGGGTGCCTAAGTTTGAAGATTCCAGATCAACATTAGTCAATGTTATCTTACAGAAACATCAACTGTATTATTTTAACTGTATGATATTACGAAGAAAGCGATTAATTTAAAAATTTGATCAGAACATTAAAAGCTACAAGCGATAAAGCGAAATCGGAAACGAAGCTCTTTGAACATGGTGTACATTTGTACAAGAACTGAATACTCTTGATTGTTTATGTGACCTAGAAAATAGGCGTGTATACAATGGCTGTAAATAAATGTAAATTAAAGGTATTGAAATGATTGACCTTGGTGCCCCCTTGAGTTGGCCTTGGTGCCCTGTGGAATTTTGATGAGGGCAAGGCCAAAGTGGCCTGCCCCTTTTTTGCCCAAGATCGAGGCCTGCACTATGCGAATGTGCAGGTCAAATAGGAGAAAATTTGAAACTGTCTTGTGGGCATGAAGTCCCCATGATTAGTGTCACATGTACAATCAGTAATCAAATTCCAGTAGGGCATCGAAACGGTTAATTACGGTTCTGCGTGATAGCTGATGTAGTACGGTTTTCGTCAAACAGAGTTTAGTAGAAGGAACAAATGTTGGAGCCAAAACAAAAGTGTGTTCTTCTAGACAGTACACGGAATGTTTCAGTCGCGCGTATTGAAATAGATTCGCTGTATTTTGTAGGAACCGTGAATGCATAGTGTATGCCAAATCCCTTGTACGATATTATAGGGAAACATAACAGGTGTTAAAGACCCACGTGATCCTGATCCCAGTTGGTCAGGTAAACGAAATGACACACCGGAACAGAAATGCCAAAGCCCTCGCGACGAGAAAACAGCTGCAGTTGAGACAAGAGCGCAAAAGCTAAAGAAAGTCACGAACTTGCATCATCTTAAAGTTCCCGAAGTGCAAAATCTCTCGGAATCTCGTACGTAAATAATTAAATCGCAACATGAACATCCGTTGTTGGAAAAGCTATTGACCCTCGGGGAAACACGTCAAAGCCGACGAACGGGTAAGGAAAACGAAACTAGGTATTTCGTCTCGGACGGATTACTCTACCATGAATTCGCTTCACCGTCGACAGAAAAAATTGTGTAATCACACAGTTGGTACTCCCAAAGAAAATGCACTCAAAGGTATTGAAGCATGTACACAATTCCACCATGGCAGGGCATCTTGGTATCAAGAAAACAAAAGACTGCGTACTTGCAAGGCGACATCAGAAGATACTGCGTTTCCTGTGACATATGCCAAAGAACGGTCGCGAAAGGTCGTGTCGGCACGGTTACTCTACATGTAGGTAGAATACCTTTAATTGATACGCCGTTTAGACGAGTAGCCGTAGACTTGATAGGACCAATTCACATTCTGACTTTGGTCGACTATGCAACGCGCTATTCGGAAGCCGTAGCCCTATTGAAACAGAACGCGTAATGGAAGCGTTGTTTGAAATCTTCACTCCAATGATCTAAATGAAATGCTATCAGGTATGGGCGCACAATTCACCTCCGATCTAATAAAAGAAATACGCAGACTTATGTCAATGAAACAACTGCAAACTACACCCTACCATCCAATCTGTAATGGACTGTTAAGGCGCATGTGCAGTGAGAGACCGCGTGATTGGGATCGGTATATCCCTGAGCTGTTGTTCGCATATTGAGAATCTCCGCAAGAGAGCACAGGCTACTCTCCCTTTGAGCTCATGTACAGTACGGTTGTTCAGTACGAGGTCCTCTTACTATCCTCAGAGAGTTATGGACTGGAGAAAAATTAGATAAAGAGGTAAAGACAACTTACCAGTATGTCATAGACTTGTGTGAACGGCTAGAGTCTACTTGCGAACTAGCTTGAGAAGAACTCGCGAAGTCCAGTACTAGCTATAAGAAATACTACGACGCGCGTACTTGAGATCAAAAGTTTGATACCGGTCCCCAAGTATTAGTTGTCCTGCCAACTGACGCGAACAAATGACTCATGCAATGGAAAGGGCCATTTCCTGTATTACGGAAAGTTGCACAACACGACAACTGTATTGAGATGAACAGTAAGCCACACACATTTCACGCAAATCTCCTCAAAAAGTACATAGTTCGATTCACTCTGTTACCTTTCAGAACGGTAAATGCACCGGCTACTTTCATACGCATGATGAGAAAATTGCTGGAAAACATACAGCATGTCGTGAATTTCATTGATGATATTCTAATATATCGAAACAATTCAAGATGTTTTGAACCCCTTGCGCAAGGCAAATTATGGCCGGATATGATTTCCTTGATTTTCTAGGGCACATTGTAGGAAACGGTGTTGTAAAGCCACAGACGGAAAAGATCACAAAAATCCTGAATGCATCTTGTCCACGAATGAAAAAGGAAGTTCGATCACTTATAAGCCTTGTTAATTACTATTGCAAATTCATTCCGAACTTTTCCGATCTGACTAAGAAAGGAAAACCAAATCATGTGAAATGGGAAGAGGCACAGGAACATGCATTGAGCACGCTGAAAGCGCCACTTGTATCTGCGCCCATCATGCATCTGCCAGATCACAGCAAATCTTACATTCTTGGTTCAGAAATACTTGAAAATGATCGTCTAGGCAAATGGATTACAAAACTGCATACTTATGTACACGTTAAATGTTACTTGAATGAGGTTTTTGTGTGCGTTTCAATGAGCAAGTTTGTTTTTAAGCTTTGTCTGTGTGAAAATATACATGAGTTGGCACAAACATCTACATTTGTACATTTGTACAGTATAACCCTACATTTTCCACTGCAGATATTTAAAGTGTTTGAAACAGATTTTGAGGTTTTTAGTTGATGAAGGGTTACGATGCTCCAGGCTTTAAAATACTTTTAAGAAAGTGCCAAGTTCCATATTCATGAGCAATACAGTGATGTCATGAGCTGGAACTTCAGTGTCACTGCTGTTTAAGGACGGAAAGTTACAAAGTGTTCTGGTTGAGGTTGATGTGACTGTTTGTTCATTGTGCACGAGGCACAGGCAGTCAGTCAGATACTTTAACAACACACTGCAATGCAATGAATTTTAGTTTCACAAGTTACACAGAAAATCACAAAGCTGTAAATGTAAAATACCTAAAGCGATATCACAGCAACGGAAGAAACAACTATTAAAGTGTACGGGCATTGTAAAAAGTGCACTGGAAAAAAGATTACAACTTTCTACATGTACATGCAGTTTACCATTACTTTCATATAGACATGAGGCTAGGATATTTCCAGGTTTTAGTGAAATTCATCCAATTGCCTTTAAATTCTGTTAAACAAAATTACAAAAAGACCCTGAGAAATCTTCACCATGGAAAACATTATAAACTCTTAACAGAGCACAAACTGTATTATCATTATCGAGAGTTGAAAGCATAGAGAGCAAACTCACCGCAAATCCAAAATATCTTGGGAGGTTTTGGATCTCAATCTTGAAGATCTCTGAGGTGAAGTGCTGTTGCGTCAGATAGTGATAAGGATCCGTCATGGCAGCCCCAGTCACCGGTACGTCAGAGGTGCTGGTGGAATGGTTATCTTGTGGGTCAAGACCTGATGCACAAAAACAAACAAATTAAAAGACCACCTCCAATCAGAGAAAATAAGTTTACTTTGATTTTTTTTTAGGCATGAGATATTTGTAAGTTTAATTATGAGTTTTTAAGTGAGACACTGCACAACAAAATCAGTTCACACTGACAAACAGATCAATGAATTGCAAATTTTGAATAAGAAACATCCCAAAGTTGAATACTGTTAATATAGATGTACAACAATTGTACACAGTACCTGAAAAAAGATTAATGCTTTAAAATATGAACCTCATTGTAAAGTTTGAGATAAACCTATATATAAATATCTTTATTTGGACGGTTCCCAAAAATGACCAATTTCTAAAAGCTGCTGTTTTTGTGTGCGTAATTCAAAACTGCCAAGCACAAATAATGCTATGTACTATCACCATTCTGGTATTTGAACTAGTATGCTTTTCTGATACTTGATACTTTATTGATGCCTCATAATATTGTGATATATTTATTTGCCTTTTTTAATGGGCTTTGTATTAATCAACAAAAGAATGAATCAAATTAGGTTTCCCCCTGCACCGACGTATAAACACTGTATACTCAGTGTGGTACCTCCCGAGTGAAATTTGGAAAAAAATCACTCACGACGCAAAATTCCATCTTAAGCCGTGTCCGCACTGGACTTTTTTTTTTGGAAGGTTTTACCGAGACGATGGTAAAATGAGAAATGGTCAAATGTGACCACTGTCTGCACTTGGACTTTCGACACGGGGAATTTTACCCAGACCGTGTGGGAGAAGTGACCGAGCTGTCACAGTCACGTGCACAGGAAATAAAATGCCGATCACATTTTTTTTTCAGCCCCCGATAGGCACAGTATAATATTACACACACCATTAAAATGCACAATATAATCGTAACATACGATGTTATTTCATCTTGACACGATAAATCTTGACGAAAATGCCTACTATTCTGATGCATTTGTGATGGACGACATCGAAGCCATGCGGCAGCAGTTCCATCGGTAATCGCTGGTTCCCACCGCATGCTAACAGAATCAAAGCTATGATGTACACTGTAGGACCGAAACCAGGGACTGCGGCCTACGTACGGTGCCATGCAGACTACACGGCGTAACAGGACGAAATTGGATCGTAGAAAATACAAAACAAACATTGGTGGAGAAAAGGAATAACTGCAAAGTATTTCCCAGAAGGTGATCTTGATATTTTCTGTGAATGTATTCTCCGTTAAAATATATTTATAACAAGATTTTAGCGCTCAGACTTGACACACCGCAGCGTACGTGTTTCCACAAAATGTTCGGCCACATCACGTGTGGGATCGTGCTGTTTCTGTATGCATGATACTCGCACTCGGGCCGGATGTCACTTTCCTGAGCCACTTTTACCGACTCGCACTGTCCGCACTGGACTTATCGTCTCGGGAAAAGTGACCTGGTCAATTTTCCTGGGCGCGTGGTCAGTTTTCCTGGGCAGCAGTTGGCCAGTAAAAGTAACCGTTGGACTCAGGAAAAGTAACTGAGAGGAAAACGTCCTAGGCTGTCCGCAATGGACTTAAAACAGGAAAAGTACCCATAGTCTCGGTAAGTTTGACCAAAAAAAAGTCCAGTGCGGACAGGGCTTTATAAAAGAATGAATGTTTTAAGATATGAATGGCTTTGTAAACTTGCATTCATTCATCAGAAATTCACAAGTTTAACAGTTGAACAAAGGTTCAAGGACAGAGGAAACGACAGACGTGGCGGAGGTGTCTTTATCTTGGTTAAGGATGGTTTCTCAGCCATTGAACTTTCTGAAGATGGTTGTGAATTACTCTGGTGCCAACTACCGCTCAAGCCGAAAGGAGAGGACATCTTCATCGCTGCATATTATAGAGCCCCCGACTCCTACAGGCCAGAATCTCCAAAAAACCTAGACAGAAGTCTGAGTAAATTGCAGGCTCAGGTAAACTCCCCATTCGTCATTCTTGGAGGAGACTTCAACATCCCGGGCATGCTTTGGAACCCAAGGACTGGTACATGTACTTTCTCGGCAAACGGTATTCAATCCAAAATTATCAACATCGCAGATGACTACAATCTCGAACAAAAGGCAATTAATACATTTTTGCTCATATTTTTGTCAAAGTACTTTCAAATGATTTCAAACTTTCTCAAGTATTGAAACAACTTAAGACAAATATTAAATTGAGCAATTGTTTAGAATGCATTGATACTGTTAATAATATAACCAAATATATGGATGTAACATGCACTGCTTCCCAACCCGGTGGAATGACCCAAAAGCAAGTGAACAGCGAAATCCGAAGGGCTAAACGCACACATTTACAAGAAACTACATCTACAGGTAACCCCCAGAAATTTTGGCGCTACGTAAACAGCACTTGTAAAGACAACACAGGGGTTCAGGTTCTAAAACTCAACGGGAAAAATATCACATCTGACCAAGAAAAAGCTGAAACCCTACAAGACCAATTCTGTAGTGTTTTCAGCAGGGATGACACCGATGTGCAGCCAGTTCTACCACCGAGTCCCTACCCAGACTTGACAAAACATCACCGTGTCTGTTAGCAGAGTCCTCAAGTTACTGACGTCGCTCAACTTGAAACTAGCTGCCAATGAAGTTGCCCCAGTGCTCGCATTCATATTCCAACAATCACTTGACCTGGGTTTTCTACCATCTGACTGGAAGAAAGCCAACGTAACACCCATTTTTAAGAAAGGCTCTCGTGCAGATCCGGCACGAGACTACAGACCTGTGTCGTTGACCTCTGTTTGTTTTAAGTTATTAGAGCACATCATTGATAGCCAATAAATGAAACACCTCCAGAAACACGACATCCTGAACGAAAACCAACATGCTTTTCGTAAAGGCCTGTCCTAACAAATCACCACAGACATGGCAGTACTTGACTTCTCCAAAGCATTCGACATAGTTTCTCATCAAAAACTGGTCCAAACATTAGACTACTACGGGATAAGGGGAAAAACACAGAGATGGATCAGGGAATTCTTAACCAACAGGTCACAAAGAGTTGTGGTAAATAGAAAATCTTTGAAATGGCAAAGTGTCGACAGTGGCATACCACAAGGCACCGTGCTTGGCCCCCACCTGTTTTTACTTTTCATCAACGACATAAGCAAATCGGTGACTGGCACAACTTGCCTTTTCGCTGACGACTGCCTGTTATATCGGAAGATCTGCTCATCAACTGATGAACTGATGTTCCAAAAAGACCTGGACAACTTGGCTCACTGGGCGCAAACCTGGGGAATGAAATTTAACTCCAGCAAATGTAACATCATGTGAATCTCCGGGAAGCGGGCCCCCGGCAAAACTAACGACACCATGTTAGGATCCAACCTCGTAGAGAAAACCAACATGACATATTTTGGAATAATCATTCAGAATAACCTAAGTTGGAATCACCAAACAGCACATGCCACTTCCAAAGCAAGTCGTATATTGAACTTCATCAAAATAAATTGTCATTCTGCATCCAGATCAGTCAAAGAAATGCTGTACTTAGCAGTAGTCAGACCACACCTAGAATATGGCAGCATTGCTTGGAACCCTCACATAGCTAAGAACATAACATTCCTGGAAAAAGTGCAACTGATGAGGGCTGCTCGTTTCGTAATGCGAGATTATTCCAGACTGAGCAGTGTGACCGACATGTTGACAACCCTAGGCTGGTCTTCACTGGAAGAGAGAAGGAAAGTTAACCAACTTACCTACTTACCTACTAGAATAATACACAACATAGTTCACATTAACTCATCATCCATAGTCCCCAAACCAGCACCAGCTCGTAGAATTCACAACTACCAGTTCACAGAAATTGCAGCAAAGACAGACATCTATATGCAGTCATTCCTACCCAGAACTATCCGGAAATGGAACAAGCTCCATCAAGACACCACAGACGCCCCAAACCACAACACCTTTAAGGATTTAGTTTAGTTCCACTTCCCCAAGGCCTCCTTGCTAGACTTCCACGTGGAGTATTCAGGATAACCACCAAGTACCAAGTACCAAGTAAAGGTGCAATATTTTTATGATATTGAACCCTCATTCCCCCAATTAAAAAAACTTACCTGGAAAGCAACAAAACTATTTTGCAGCAAGATTAATTTCACTGGGTTAAAGTATTAAGTTTTCAATAAGCAAGAATGGACAAAATCACATGAATGGGATTACACTCAAGTAGCTGACCTGGCAAAGGAGCAAACGTCTTCACCAAGTAAAAGAATAACAAGTCACCTTTGGATTTGTCCTCCTCATCTTCATTGGGAATAGCATCCATAGTGATGGCCACATCTGTTGGCATCTTGACAACATCACCCTCTGTAACTGTGGTTGACGTTACCTCCCCAGTTGGGACATCATCAGAAGTTGCTCCCTGCTTCTCATCCATTTTGGTGTTATTACGTTGGACCAAAAACACACTGGAAATATAAAGAAACTGCACATAAAGCAGTTGTATACTATTGAAAGCCATGACCAGTGGGATATCTAGGGGGAGGGGTCAAAATTTGAAATCACAACGTGCACCTGAAAATAGTATGGTAACCATATCGTGTACATGTCTCAAGGCAGTGCGATGTATATGTGGATACCATACCAGTATGAGATGCGAGCTGTAAATGTCGCCACAACACGGCTGCGACGCGACGGTTCTATCTGAAAAGCCACCAATATCATCATTGTTTCCCCATATTTTAGCCAGTGTAGTTCTGTTTCAAGTCGATCCTTTGCTTTGTGATGACTGCTGCATGGTATTTAGGTGAGTTTAATCTCAACTAGGTTTGGATAATCGGGGAAAAGGACAATTTCTGTTGAGGCAATTTTTCATGGCCTCCGTCATTTTCCAACTGCTGGGGAAAAAATAGTTGGGGAAGAATTCCATACATATTGCATACACATCACTAATATTTCCCCACAGTGACCTATCAGCCATCAGAAACGGATGACATGTTTAAAAGTCAAATTTAGCAGGGAAAATATTGAAACGTTTACGAAGAAAACACTTCAAATTTTTCAGACCAGTGTCTTAGGGTTTGTGCACCGGGTGTCAAGTGATGTCCAGGTGTGGAACTCTTTCCAATAGTTGTCCAAACATTTGGGACTCTCAATACTGTCTATGAGAGTCCCAAATTTTAAGGTATTGAAAACTTGCAATACAAGATGGAGATGAGAAACTCCAGCTCCAATGCTCATCACGAATTTGACATGTAGAGCTGGAGGCACATCTAGTTTTTGTCCAGCAGTTGAAAATTGGCGGAGGCCTTGAAATTTGGCAAATACTAAAGTTTTCCCTTTTCCCCTATTATCCAAACCCAGATGAGATTAAGCTTACTTCACACCATGCAGCAATCATTTACGAAGCATTTGGTCGACTTGAAACAGAATTATGCTTTCTAAGTAAGAGTTGAGGCTTTGCATGGTGGAGATACTAAATAATGAAAGGTTTGCGGAAACACCATGGGAGAATAATTTCTCAACTAAGAGAATGGTTCTGAAAAGCACCAGAGGTATCAACTCGAAGTTCCGGTCAGTATGCTCTGACTGTCTTCAGGAGAGACATTTCATTATTTATGCTTTATACTAAAATATGAAAAAAATTATGATTTTGGTGGCTTTTCTACCTTGTATACTGCATTGGGGCTGCTATTGATGACATGTATACATTCTTATGTTGTTTTCAGAGGAAAAATAAGATATGGCTTGATATAGACCCATGAACGTGGCTATATACATGTACATACATGTATGCACTCAATATTTTGTTATTGCTGCCAAGAAGTTTAAGTGATCATTTAAAGCTACAGTCCATCATTTGCAGCTATCCAAAACTATATTTAGTGTTGAATAACTACTTGGTTGAAAGATAGTAAGGGGACAAAAACTCCCTGTGAAATTATTTGTTCTGGCATGCTGTCATTGGGAAGAAATCAATGAAAGAAGGCCTTTCCAACGATGCATCTAAAGGCACATGGTTGGAAATTTCCGTTAGTAGTTCCTTTTTTTAGTTGGCGAAGTGCGCGCAAGCGTTGACATGATGCACACGCTCGCGCGGTTGTTTTAATTCATCAGATCAGTGCGTGACATTGCGTAGCTGCAATTAGCTCAGTGAGAACGTGTCTCCAACACTGAATTCAGGCCAAATTCAAAACAAGATTCAGCATCTTTTGATTTGAAATCGAAATCCTAGAATGTTGTTTTACTCGAAATGTAGGCCTACAGCTGAAGCTGAGCTGAAACTTCACCAAATTAGTTGTTCAGTACCCTTCTTTAGATTTTGAGCGTGTTTGTTGCTTCAAACGAGTAAAATACACAATTTACAAATGATGGACTGTACCCTTTAGAGAATATTTTGAAACTTTTATTTTGTTTTCTTTAAGTACATTTTTTTGGGGGGGGTGGGGTGGTCCTTTTTTGTAAACAGAAGGATTATTGCTGCCAAGAAGTGTTAGTTATTACTTCAAGAATATTTGGAAACTTTTTTTATAATGCTTCAGTGCCCGATGCGCATTCTGTGTGCACCAGTACCAAGGTAGCAAGTTCAAAGCTTATGATGTTCTCATCCAGAACGAGCTTTAGCAAAGAATTAAACACTTAACAGATACAAAATAAGAGAAAGCAAATTTAAAGATTTACTTTCTCTAAATTTACTTTTTTTCAGTTGTGTCTTTACATAATCATTAATCTCATATTTTTAACAAACATTCGTTTCTTGACCTTTTTGTATAGTTACCTGGGAAAGATTTCCATATACGAAGTTCACTCAACACCCTGTGTACAAACCCTATGAGATTGGACTGAAAAATTCTAAGTGTTTTCTAAGAAAATGCTTGTATTTTTTCAATGCTCAAATTGACTTTGATGACAAGAAATTGCTATCTGGGGGCTTGTTAGTCAATACAGAGGAAAATTAGTGAACTTCATATATGGAAATCTTTCCGTTACCTGAAAGTTCTTTAAAATATGGAAATAAATGTTGAGATGAATAGGAGAGAGTAACCATTTCATCTTCACATATGGTGACTGTCAAAGTAATTCCTGCATTTGTTTTCTTGCGAAGTCTAATAACCAAAATTAAAACACATATTACTAGAGCAGTCTGTACTTTTAATTGATTCAGTACGACTTGACTTACACGTAATGGAACGAGACGTCTTTATTGAAGGTACGAGTTGTCCAAGGTACGAGTTGGCATAATGATGTCACATTAAATGTATGAGTTGTCCAAGGTACGAGTTGCCCAAGGTACGAGATGACCTGTTTCCTTGCACATTGGAACAGCAATACTGGGTGATTTGGCAATAAATAGTTAATGCGGTACCCGCTGCTAAAGTTCAAATCGAACCGGCCAACAGATCCCGTTAGCTCGGTGGTCGAGTGGTAAGACACCTGCACTAGAAAGCACTGGACATCGTGGGTTCGAGTCCCACCGGCTTGATTTTTCCCAACTTTCACTCGGGAGGTAACAGACTGAGTATACAGTGTTTATACGTCGGTGAAGGGCAAAACCTAATTTGATCAATTCTAAAAGTTTACATTATCTTAAAGAAACCTAAAGGTATTTTTTTTTTTTTGCCAGAGGTAAACTTTTGAAATCACTAAATCCGACTTTTTGCCATAGGTAAACTTTCGAAATCACTGACTATGACTTTTTGAATTGACATCGTCATCGATTCATGATGGACTGCAGACAAGCAATCGTTTCTCGGGCAGTGCAATGGTTCATCAGAAAACTGCAGGATCATCCGTAAAATCAAAAATAAAATAGCAAGAAATACACAGTTTGGTATGGAAATATATTTAGAGTGTAAAAATTCAGTTCGGTAATATTTGCAAGTAAGTCTCTAATGCCGTTGAAAAATGGCAAACTGCAACAATGTCACCGTGAACGGACGGCCACATTGGCCGGTCAGCACGGCACAGGAACTGTGTCATTTTGCAGTTTGCACAGTTGGCTAGGTTGACCATACGTACCGGCCCATGAACCTGGCAATGTGAATAATTTTTACGAAAATGCGTACCGAAGTTCCAGCGTTCCTTTCAGTAGAGCTAGGAAAATACTGAAGTATTAACTGAGAAAAACACTAAGAAATTTTCAGACCAGTCTCATAGGGTTTGTGCACAGGGTGGCAAGTTATGGCCATAATACAGTGTATGGGAATCTTTCCTTTGATGTTAATTGGGAAAGATTCCCATACCTGGCCATCACTTGTCACACTGTCACACTGTGCACAAACCCTATGGGACTGCTCTGAAAATTTGTAAGTGTTTTCTCGGTAAAAATTCAAAATTTGTCACTGCTAATTTAGACTTTTTAGGACAAAATATCACTTTCAGATGGCTGATACAGATAGGCCTAGGTCATTTAGGGAAAAATTACGGCGACCATGAAGTGTAGGGCCCCTGTTTTGTTTTGGTCATTATTGGAGTCAGAAGTGTTTTTTTTATTGCTCAAAAATCACCTTTACCGACAAAGCAGTTTTTCCTCAGTTCTAATGACACCCGTTTTGCAATTTTGAACGGATTTTTGGGATAGAAACCACGATTTTCCTGCGCGGTTTGTGCCTTGCGATTCAGCGCGCCGTGCGTGGCTATGGATGCCACGCTATACAATAAACGCAGTAGTAAGTACGTCTATGGCCACTTCTTGGACAAGTTGGAGTACGTTTCACTAAATACTATAATGCAGATTTCACCAATAGCTAATATAAACAACCAAATCAATGTTAACATTTATTAAATGGTTAAATAAAATTAGTAATACTGACGTACCAGTAATAAGAAAGTGGCAAAGGTAACAACAGGTACAGTTTCTTTCGGCCACTCGGAAGACAGCGCCGTACAGTCGCGTGTTTATGTTGTTGAATGCTGCCCTCATGTGTCGTTCGATGGGCATGCAAGCTCTTTCGAAACATCGGCCTCCATCGCAGATCACAACTGCTTCAGGTTCATATACTGAACTGGCATCCTTCTTTTTTTTAACGAGACGCATACGTCTCCCGTAACGGAAGCCAAATAATACCTATTTGTCTATTCTTATTTGACAACTGACGCTTTCTGAGTAGCTGTGTGGAAATTTCATAATCTTCAAATAATTATAGTAGACAAAGCCGCAGCTGGGAATGAATCGAATTTTCAGAAACCCTTTAAACCCATGTTTTTTTTTTTCTGGAGGGTGTGAATTTTTCCCCTTGAATCCCCCCCCCCCAATTTATGTGATTATTCAAGACAAAGGAGTTATTGAAAATGGCTATCTATGTGGTAGGTACCCAAGAGATTGTGGAAAATTGTTTGGTAATCCTTACTTTTAGGACACCTCTATTTTTTACAAGTTCTGTTCAAAACTGACTTTTGCAGATGACTGTCCAGTACCAATTGACTTTTGCAGGCTAAAGCAGTCTTTTTTCTAGTTTTGAAAGCACTTTCAAAAAAATGTGACTTTCCTACCTTTTTTCACAGTCAGACATGCATGTTGTAGTTCTAACACGCGTGAAAGCCCTACATAATGAAAGCCCGATGCTGATTGGCTGCTAAAAAAAATAATTAAGATGTTTATTTTTTGTCAGCCAATCAGCATCGAGCTTTCATTGCATCGAGCTTTCACGTTTGCCATCTTGGTTTTTGAGTCTGTTTTCTGGTTGTCATCGTCATCTTTTTACCCCTCAATTTCCCTCTAAAATCAAAGCCCTGCCCTAGCTCTTTCCACAAACTTAAACCGGGAAAAGTTCCGTACTCGGACGTCAATTTATCTGCTGCCAAACATATTAAGTGTCATTTAGTCAGCTGTTTTGGTGAGTCTTTCCCTTCCTATATAGGAACGGGGTCCTAAAAGTAAGGATTACCAATTGTTTATATTCTTTAGGTTGGACACCTCGTCGCAAAAGTAATTTTAAGAAAGCAAAATGTAAAATTGTCCAGTTTCCGGACACTTCACAATGAATATTGAATGGCTGCTGCTACGGTATTTGGTTACTCCTAGAACTATGATGCTCCGCGTGAGCGGAGCCGCATAGACACAGAACCCCACAAAATGGTTAATTGCAGCACAATCCCTCATGACATATCGTCAGTCCACCAAAAACGACCAGGATATGTTTTGACACACTCGCATTCAATTTGCGTTGGACAACACGCGCTATATCTGCCTCAATTATGGTGAGTCGAGGATACTCATGTAAGTTGCGCCTAACAAACATCGGTGGATTCTGTCGGTTTTTAGGCCAAAATGATGAAAAATATGCCCTTTCCGCACTGAGCCAACCTGACACTAGAAACGTGCACAAAGATAATGATCGATCACTGATTTTCGGTTCGCTCGGAGCACGCTGCGGGGGAGCGGTACTTGCACTTGTACGCATGAGCGTATCATTTGCTTGCGGCGTGCTCCGAGCGAACAGAAAATCATCAATCGATCAAATCTGCGTACACGTTTCAAGAGTCAGGTTGGCTCAGTGCAGAAAGGGCATATTTTTTCATCATTATGGCCTAAAAACCGACAGAATCCAGCGATGTTTGTTAGGCGCAACTTACGTGCGTATGTCATGAAGTATTGTATGGAGTTTATGGGCAAATTGTGCAGTGGTTCTGTAGAAAATGTCTATGTTTTGATGAACGTTTTTGTACTTATAGTTGGTGTGTTGTAGTAGCAAACAATTTTGCGAGGTTCTCTGTCCATGAGGCTTCGCTACGCGGAGCATCATAGTTCTAGGAGTGACTGCTAGGGTAGTACTCAGTACTCCCTACTATTCTACATCACTTCCTTGTGTTGGTTCAGAATCAGAGGTGTTGGAAAGAATGTTGCAACCTGATGCTGCTTTTTCCCTTATATTTCATCTCAATGAAGGTCAGTCATTGCAAAAATGATAAAACATGAATCTGGGACTGAGAAACATTTCCAATTTTGTTAGGAAATACTGAATTTTTTTTTGACTCTCCATAGACTTTTTACACAACCGCTGAAGTAGCGTCAGGTTGCAACATTCTTTCCGAGGTGACTGTTGGCTCCCAACGAAAGCCTTCTAAAACCTCTTCCAATGCCTCAAAAGAGATCCCATCTGCGAGTGGTTTCTATGTTAAATGTTTTATGCCTGGTTTTTATAAACTACCACTTTGAAAACTCATTCATTCATTAATTAGACATAGGCATTTGCCCGTGGTCTCCTCTTCAAATTATACACAGTTGGGATCACTGGCGCCGCTCCCACCACAGCCCGTCTTTCCAGTGCTGCTGCTTTCAGTTCGTTGGTGTCACACCCAGACCATTCAGGGATGTTGTCCACCCAGCGCATCTTTGGCCGGCCCACGGAGTGACGACATCCCACTGACATCCCATCCACAACAGCTGCCGCCATGCCGCCGCCATGCCGGACCACATGGCCCAACCATGCTGCCTTTCGTTCCATCACAGTGCTACTGCTGAAGCACCACCGGTCGACGATCATCTCCATCAGTCTTTCATTTGTCACATGATCTTGCCACTTGATGTTGAGCAGGTGAAGCCAAATGGTTCGGCCATAACTGTCTAGGCGTTTGACGCCAGCTGCCTTCAACGACAGGGTGGTGGCACCATACAGTACCCTTGATATGACTAGGGCCCGAGCAAGCTGTACCTTTACCTCAAGGCTGACGCGGGGAGAGCGCAGATACTTGCACTGCCGAAGAGTGGATCTGCCCATACCTAACCGCATCCGAACCTCCTTGCTGTCCTTGTTGAAAACTGCTGTGAAGATTTGGATTTGAGTAGAAAATGAGATTATCTACTGATTTTATTGACGTAGCCGTTTTATACATTCACATTTTTTTTTTTACATCATACATGTTTACTTGACAGTTTTTCTCATGTTTTTTTTTTCGCAACTATAGGCGCATCCATCAGTGCGGATGAAAGGCGCTGAGGCAGACTGGACACCCATACAATGCACAGACAGGGAGTGTAGCCACTCCTTGATGAAGGCTCCGCATCTGCACTGTCCATTCTGCTCCCAGGACAGTCTCTTCACTGATGAGATTCTCCTCAAGGCGCACTACAGGGTCAAGCACGTGGATAAAGGCATCAACTTTGGGGGTGAGTTTGCATTTGGGAACAAGACCAAGCGCTTGCATACATGTGACTGGATCCCAAGAAATATGTTTTAGGTTAAGCCAAAGGACAATGTTTTTCACTTTCTCTTCACAGGTCATGCTACAAGATGACTTTTAACGTCCATGTGAGTTGAATGCAACACTTGTCTAAGTGACAAGCCTGCCGAGTGCAGCAAGATCCATCAGGTCAAAAGTCTGAAGGCCAAATTGCCTCTGAGTCTGTGGTCCTCAAACGCAGCAGGATACAACTGAGGCATTGTTCAATGG